TCAGGTTCCGGTGTTGATCTAGGATCTGGGACGCAGCTTCCCCCTATTTCACAAGTCCATCCATCCGGGCATCCGTTCCACCAGCAGCCCGTGTTTTCAAGCTCGGGAATAGTATGAGGTGGCCAGCCGTCCTAGAAAGCATGGTACTGGACGAGTAGCGGGGGAGGCAATCTTTCCCAAGGATTCCTTCCGTCGCATTTTCAAATTTAGAAGTTGACCAGCGCTGACCCCCCGCTACGCGGGGGTTCAACGCTTGCCCCCTTCCCGGCCCCACAATTTGAATCTGAAATTTGAATGCGAAATTTGGCTGAATTCCCGGTCGTGCGCACGGACATTAGAAATTTATATCCTACCTTATATTATATAATTTACCTTATATAATTTTGCTGTGGTGTCCGTCCGTCCGTCATGTCCCGAATTCAACTCGAAGGGGGAAGGAGCTAGAGGTTAGCTCTCTTCGGATTCGGATAGAGCGTGGTCAGAAACCCCCAAACTGATAAAAAAAATGTTGAAAAACTTTTAGTTTAAATTATTAAAATTAACTTTGAAAGTTTTTCCTTAGTAAAAGGGGTGGGGGACGGAGGTTGGGGTGATTTTGGACATAGTGAGCCAGGTCGCGCGCGTTTTGTGGATGAAAATTTTCACGGGGGATTTCATTTCTTTTTTTTCTCTCATTCCATCCGGTCGGTCGTTATTATCGTTTTTGAAGGGGATTTCGGCTAGGGGAGGTATCTGAAGCCATCGGGAAGGTATTTAGGTAGTTTTTGAAGGGGAGTTCGGCGAGGGGGGTTATCTGAAGCTATCACGAAGGTATCGAAGTAGTTAGTAGAAGTAGGTGGATAGGTGGGGGAATTACATCAAGGGTAACCCGAAGGCCAAATGGTTGCAGTCGCGAAGCGACTGGAACCATCTGGTATAGTAGATTTTAACATATTTTTTTAGCTGTAAAAAGACTCCAATAAGCCAAAATTCACTAGAAAAACCAGTAAAAAACACTAAAATCCATTGCGTTGGACTACGGTACGTTACGTTACATTACATTACGTTTAAGCACCGATTCTGGTTGTACTACGCATGCGCCTATTTAACGCAAGAAAACTGGGGCAAAGGGTTGCTTGAAAACAGTTGAAAAAGGGAAGCTACAAAAAAAAAAACTTACCGGGCAGCAGGACTTTTGTTGGGAGCCAATCACCAGAACTGCCAGAAGAAGTGGGAGCTTCATCACTTCGGAAGTTCTTTGCACTGAAAGCAATTCCACGCTTTTTATAGGGCCACTCCAAGAATTCCCATTTTGAAACGCCGAAGAATGATTCCGAAAGCTTCAGTCAAAACTTTCAACAACCCCAGTTTCGGATGAATCAAAGTTTCACTGATTGTTTTGCATTTCGGAGGTCAGGTGTGGGCAATGATTCCAGCAAATTTTTTTCTGAAATGAACGAAACATTTTGTTGAAGCCAAAGTTTATGTGACATCCTAGGCTTAAGTACTAGCATAAGCCTAGGCCAAAACCTAAGCCTAAGCCTAAGCATAACGTTTTTGTAAGTTTAACTGAACAAGCCCAACCAACCGATCCGTGCAAAAATTTTTGGGTATTGAATTTGAATCCGGAAGTCCGGTCAACATGATTTGCATACAATCCCGGGTATTTAGCAAAAATCGTTGTCTGCGCGGACATTCCTTCCAAAAACCCTACCCACCACACCGGATGGGCCTGAAACTGCTGCTCTGTGCCGCGCTGCTCGCCAGGTATGCTGAACTGGGATGCAAATTAGTCCTCAATTTTCAGCGGCTGCCTGGCCCAGCACGACACGGACCAAGAGATGAAAATCTGGGGCAAGAAGCTGTTCGCGCAGCTGTCGAGCCGGGACGTCGAGGTGCTCAAGGCCAAGCTGAAGTGAGTTCGGCCACCGACAGCTACATCGGTTCTTTCCAGAGAAGAGGATTTTCTGTTCGGAGCGCGTGCGGTGCACTTCCTACCGTGGCTGAGCAGCAAGGGGCTGCTGAACGAGATCCCGCAGCCGCTCGCCGATGCCATGTCGCTGGAGGATACGTGGGTGGCTGTGGTGCAGTTTACGTATCGACGTCTAAGCGTAAGCGTAATCATAAGCCTCGAAAGGGCTACGGTTTACTTTACCCCCCAGCCGGAAGTTTTTGGCTACAACTTTTTTATTTTACATTATTGTAGGCTCAAATTAAAACTCTTCGTATATTTTTCGACGCTCTATCGAATGGCGTTGCGAAAATCCCGACAAAATAAGCGAAAATACCGACAACTTTGCGACCCTTCGGCTGTGGGGGTGTAAAGTAAACTCTTACCCTAGAAAGCCCAAGCTAACCCTGAGACTAAGCCTAAAAGCCTAAACCTAATCCTAAGCCTAACCTTAAGCCTATGTGCCTCTTCCAGCAGCGTCCGAAACAAGAGGGTCGAGATCCTGCTCACCGCTGCTCTGCAAGCGATGCAGTGAGTTCAATTTGAGCAGCACTAATTTCAACCTGCCTTCAGGGACCGGATGTTCCCGGACGAGTTGCGCCAAACCTTGCGTCCCTATATTGATCGCTCCCAGCCGGCCGATCTGGTCGACTCGATCGCCGACAAGCAGATGGCCCAGTGGGGCGAACACCTCGCCCGTGTCGTGCCCGACACCGACAAGCAAGCCCTCGCCCGCGTCATCCACAAGTACTGGAGTTCTTAAATTGACGTTTTTTACTGAAATATCACTCTCTATACTAGTCTATTTTTGACTATTCTTGGGCACAAAAATACGAATCTACAAATTAGACATTCAAAAACGATTTTTTTCGACTACAAATTAAATGTTTACGAGCACAATTTCGAGTTTAAATGGCTTATCGATTTTTGGACAAGTTTGCCAAAACAAAATTTTAGTAACAACAATATGAAAATTTTTAGCTTCTACTTTCGCGGACCTACCATTTTTTTTCAGCCAACAATCCCTGCTCGACCAGGATGGCCTCTTCGACGTGACCATGAACTTCCTGAAGCAGAAGAAGATCCCGATCGTGATGCCGCCGGGCCTGCGTCAGACGGCGCGCATCAGGGACATGTACGAGATTGGAAACTTGAAGCTTAAAGCATCCTAATTCAGAAAGCAGCGCAAGCACGTCATCGAGCGCCTCATGGAGATTGCCGTCACCAGCATGCTGTAGGCGAATTTTGAGCTAAAGAACTGGAAAGCATATTAAAATGTGGTTGAAAGGCCAAAAATTACTCCAACTTTTTTTCGCCCATTAATATGACGAGCAAATCCGCTTATTCCGGAGCAAAAAAAAACTTTACAAATTTTGGCTAAAACCTCCTGACCTTGTTGTACAATTTTGTACGAAGCAGGAGGCCGCCGCCGCGGGACGACGACGAAGGAACAGGTCGAGCGCGCTATCCTCCAACGTACAAGCACGTCACCTGCATCTGCTGGAGTTTCCTGTACGTTTACCGCCTGCATCTCTACCAGCGTGATTTTTCCAGTGGCTGTTCGTCCCAAAAAGTCGTCAAGAAACACTTCCCGATGGACAGCGACAAGATTCCGGGGTGTGAGGAGGGCCTCCTGGGGCGGAACGGGCTGCCGGAGAGCCAGAGGGCCGTGCTCCAGCGTCTGAACGGGCTCACCGAGCAGCTGCTGCGCAGCGAGGAGCAGGGCGCACGAGGTTTTCTGCAATATCGTGTATTCTCAGTTTTTAGGCGTCCAAACACCCGCTCGGAAGGTGGCCTCTACGCTGATCGAGCTGACGCACGGACGACGCCCGTGGATGAACCTTGGACCGCAGGGTGGGAAAGAGAGAGAGCGAGAGAGAGAGAGAGAGAGAGAGAGAGAAAGAGAGAGAGAGAGAGAGAAAGAAGAAAGAGGGAGACAGAGACAGAATGAGGGATAGAATCCACTAGTCATCGCCAATAATCCCTTTTTCCAGACCGTCAGCGCTTCTTCAAGGAGGTCGCCCGGAAGGTCATCTCCCAGGGCTCGGCCCCCGACCCGACCCACGCCCTGGTGGTCGAGACGCTGAAGCTGGCATGCCAGCAGGAGCCCGTCCTCCCCTCCATCCGCTTAGCCTGCAGCAAGCAGGACGAGCTGACCGTGTCGATGGCGTCGCGTAGCGATGGTCGGTTTCGAGTGGTTATCTCTGGAATTCGGCTTTCAGACCTGCGACTCATCAACGGCGTCGGCGAGGAGCTGGCCACCGCCGTTCAGGAGGGTCGGCTGAAGACGAAGGATGGCGAGTGATGAGCTTGAGCTAAGACTAAGCCTAAGCCCAAGCCTGGGCGGAACCTAAAACCTGGTTTTTTTCAGACGCCATCGCCCTCGGCGAGCAGCTCGTCCAGCAGTTCTCCCAGCAGGAGGCCGACCTTCGCGGCTAGACGCCGCGACGACATGGTGCGTGGCGCCGAAGACTTCGGGCGGTCATCTACCAAGGAACGCCCGGGACACTCTAGCCCCCCCTCTCTAGTTCACATGCCACTCCCCTTTTTCTAGGATCTCTCGTATGCACCCTATGTGTCTCTGCCCCCTCCCCTCGTTTTGTATCTCCCCTCCCTTCGCATCCTGTTTTTTTCGCCACCGCGTCTGTGGCTTCGAATAAATTTTTTGGGTGGGAAAATGTCGTTGGAAGGTATGCAGAGGATACGAAAACACGATAGTACAAGACAGAGCGCACAACGCAGCGTTACGCCACAATACGCCAAATCACGCGCTAGCCGCTAGATTAACCACGTTGAAGGGAACCACGCATGACGCTACGCTACAGTACGCTACGGTACGGTACGCTGCTGGCGCCACGCTGCGACACCACCAAATACGCTACAGAACAAAGTTATCAACCGAGAGAGAGAGGCATGAGAGAAAGAGAGAGAGAGAGAGAGAGAGAGAGAGAGAGAGAGAGAGAGAGAGAGAGGTATCTTTCACTTTTTGCTTAGGATTGTTATTATGTGGTTTCCCCGTAGCCGCTCCGCTCGATCAACAATTTATCAACTTCCACAACTTTCCGAGTCACAAACATTCGCGTTCCCCATTCCGAGCGCAAAACCCGATAATGGCGTGGGCACAGCAGAAAAACCCATCCGCACAACGTTCCATATGATTTGCCAGACTGCACCGACCGTAGACGATTTGCTAAATTCGGCCTTCGTACTGTATACCTTCAAAAACACCTTCGGAATGCACTTCCGGATAAAGATCGAGACCTGCGCGCAGTAGAAGTTGGTCTGGCAATCGCCCTGCCCTTGGCAGAGTGGCTAAATTGTCACTTTTCGATCGATATAAATTGTTTGAAATTACCGGCAATTTGCTGTTGGTTAGGTAATTTCCGGAAACTGCATAATTAAGGAAAAGAAAGAGCAGAAATAGTCTTAGCGGCATTTTTAAAGATGTGCTGCCGCGTCAAACGCGAGATCCCGCCTCTAAAAGCAATATTTTTTTTGAATTATTCCATTTTTTGGGCGTTGTGGCCATTGATTCACATGTCGTAACTTATCGCCTGAACTTTGAACTACGAAAAACAATATGTTTTATTACAATTCGATTTTTAATGCCCATCCAGGGTGACGATTTCAAAATCATCATCGATCATCGAATTCCCGACATCGTTTCTGGCTTATTTTAGTTACGGGATTTTTGCCCCAGAGAGCAACGCAATTTATGTGTCTTACCGTCTAGAATTTCAAAAAAACGAAGTTCCTCCAAAAAATAGCGATTTGGAAAGCGATACTGTACACTCTTTTTTACTTTTTTTTACTCAGATACAGTATTTTTCTAACTTCAGGACTCCGTCCTCTGACGCTGAACTTTTCTGTGTTTTCCCACCGCTTAAAGGCAAATTCAGCGCTTCATTTTTAGTCCCGTCAGGTCTCGGGATCTCGGGAACTAGCCATTATTGGGTGAGCAGGGTTGGGTCTTGTAGTTGCGTGTTCGATCTTGGACGCCGTAGTTTGGATGTGACACGACGTTCTCGTTCTTACAATTAATCCTTTTAGGGCATCTTTAGTGATTCCTCAGCACAGGTGACCCATCATTGGCGCGGCGACGGAAATGGCACAGAAATGGCCTGCGGTGCAGCCTACGCCAACTCCATCACAAGTCTCGCCGGGCAGATTTTGCCTCTGGAAAAGGGTGGAATAGAGATCAAATTCCGAAGTTGCTAGAAGAAAAGATCATCTCTCTATCTTTCTCTCTCTCTCTCTCTCTCTCTCTCTCTCTCTCTCCCTCTCTCTCTCTCTTACACTCTGTCTCTCTGTCTCTCTCTGTCTCTCTCGGTTTCTCACTGTTTCTCTCCGTTTCTCTCTCCCCCTCTCTGTCTCTCTCTCCCTCTCTCTCTCCCTGGAAAGCAACCCCGCCCGACTCAAATACCCTAGGCTCGCATAGTTTACGTTTGCCGCAGAACATCTCTGCGCGGCAGTCACGATCCCTATCGCACCGGTCCTATAAAATTCGTAGTTCAACTATCCCAGTAGAAATTCCTACCATCACCGGGGCAACAGTAGCGAACAGTAGGGCCACCACGAGCAGACTGAAAACCGAGCGCACTTTCAACCTGACAGCAAAAATATGGTCCCATATTTTTATACCACTCCACACTATTTTATGCAGTCGCCAGCGCTGGCTGCTGCTGTCACATAAGATTTGCAGATGATTGCTCTTTCAGGCTGTACGAGACTGTACGAATCTGCGAATTCATTGAGAGCGGCGCGGACCGTCGGCCGCGCATTTTCACGCCGTCAAAAAGCCCTCACAATGTCGCAGTTTGCGAATGTCAACTTATCAAAATCCCTCAATTCAAAATTTTTCGATCGGAACGCCGCCGTAAGTGAATTTCGAGAATCGGAATGTCGGCGTTTTTAATTGACCCCATTGAAATTTAAGCAGTCTTCTCAACGATTACAGTATACCAATTTTTAAAACTGGAGGCTTCGACATTCGAATTCTGGCCTGTCAGTGTTTAGTGGACTTGGTATTGGACGGTATTTAAAAAGTATCGGCCAAAATTTATCCTTATTTCCTATTTATTTTCCCGCAAACTTTGGTCTCCAGCTGGCACTTTGAGGTGACGCGACAGCACAAATACCCATCCGGGCAGCGGTCGGCCACCGCATTAGGGTAGCATTTATGGCCGGGCCAAATCATCTGCTGAAAAGGATCACCACTAGCTGTTTTGCTAAGCCTACGCTAAGCCTACGCAAAGCCTAAGCTAAGCCCAAGCAGAGCTCGAGCCCAGCTCTGGTCATACCTTAGGTTCACAACGGTAGCCCACGTTGCAGAAGTGCCAATCGCCGCAATCTTTGTGTTGCTGGCACGGTATTGATGTCATGGTATCATTTCGGGACGGGTTGAACGCCGACGAGACCAACGTGGACAGCACGGCCAAAGTGAGGATCGATAGCAGGCCGCGCATTTTTTATTGTCTCAAAAAACAGTACGGTCGGTACATTTTATAGAGGTGTTTCATTTATATGCATGAATCCAGGTTCTGTATTGGAAATAAGTGGCCAGCATAAAAATTTCCATTTAATTACAAAATGTCTGGCGGCGCGAAACGCACTGAACTAATTCCCAAAACAGCCCAACGTAAGCCTCAGACTAAGACAAACCAGCTTATACCTAAGCCTAAACCTAAGCCTAATCTTAAGTCTACGTCTCAACCTAAACATATGCCTAAACCCAAGCCGGAGCCGAAGCCGAAGCCTAAGCCCAAGCCTAAACCCAAGCCAAAGCACATTTCACGTATTTGCCTTGTCAGAAACAATTTATTCACATCAATCGCAAATCTCACCATTCGGCGTGCAATACGCGATTTCTGGATGTTGAGGGTGATGGCAGCAGTGTTCTCCCTGGCTGCACCTCACCACACCACAACGAGGGCGCTAATAAGCTGATAGTAACTTCCCAATGACCCAGCACAAACCGGCAGCACACAGCGGTTGAACAGACATACATGAAAATCAGGGCAATCGTGTCGATCGTGGCACCGTTCCTAGGTGTTTTGGGGTTTCGAAACAAATTTGGAGCGCAGAGAGAGAAAGAGAGAAAGCGCGCGGGTGAGAGCGAGAGAGAGAGAGAGAGAGAGAAGAGAGAGAGAGAGAAAGAGCGAAAGAGCGAGAAAGTGGGAGAGCGATAGAGAGATAGGGAGCGAGAGAGAAAGCGAGAGAGTGAGAACCGGGGAAGAGATATTTTTTGCCCCTACCTGTTTCACACAATGCAAATCAACGCAGTCATGCCCCGGCGGGCACTCTCCATTCGCCAGGCAAAACTGAAAAAAATATCTCGCTTTGATAAGCATAAATATGTATAAAATGGTTGGATCAAGGTTATCTTTCTAGCCCCCACCGCCTCTACCGTAACGGCTCCGATGGAGAAGATAAGGAGCAGAATATAGCCAACACAACTCATGGTTATAACAAGGCAACGTTGGCCTTGCGACTTTATAGTTATTGGATATGAATTATTCAACCATGAATACTATCCAAAGCTATCGAGAAATGGCCCAAAATCTAGTACCCGGTATGATACGATTTTTTATAACCCAATAAAAAACCAGGTGCCTTACAAACTTAAAGAAAAGGAGAGAGAGCGAGAGAGATAGAGAGCGAGAGAGAGCGAGTGTAATAGTGAGTGACGCACGTTGACTGCTTTGCAGTTTGGAGTTTAAGCATCAAAGCCCGGAACTATTTATTTTCCTACAGGGCAACCGCCATCCACGACTTTTGCGCAGTAGCCGCCGTCCGCCACGTGCGGAAGTTTACAGCAGAATTCCCCATCACCACACTCCAGCCGTCCGCCTGCGCAAAGGCGATCGGTCTGGAGTCTGAGAACGTTTATCCAGGCACTTAGCTTTAAAAAAGCTTATACGGAGATTTCTGCGTCGTTTAGAAAAAGATCTAAGAGAAGCAGATTAGGTCGTCTTGTTAAGAAAAACCGCACTTTCGAATGAGCCAAAGCACGTCAAGTTTTCCAACTTTAGCTCAAAAAGTGTTTCTTACTTAACAATATTTTTTGTTTTTCTGACAACAAACCGCAACTCCGTTGACCTTCACTGAGCACCGGTTAATGAAACAGTAGCCATCCACACCGGGGCACTGGCTATCGTCAAGGCACCAGTCCTGGAATTCACCATTTTTGTTCACTTACGACGGTATTATGAGCGCCAGGGCTTACCCACCAGCGTTACCGCAGGCACAACAACCAGCAGCAGTAGAAGGTGATAAACTAGGGCCATTTTTGAATAGGGAGCCACGACAGTCTGATCGCTTTTATAGGGCCGAATCGCATTAAGATGGTTCATATATTCGCTGACTCTGTAACGTTTGCAGCAAAGTGGCATTAAATTTGCGGATTTGAAGTGTGACACGATGGGAGGAAGTCGCAGACAGAGGTCTCGTTAAACTCTGGTCTTTGGGCCAAAGATTGTCGGACTTTCTGGGCAGTGGAGAGAGCAAGAGAGCGAGAGACAGAGAGCGAAAGAGAGATTTTAGGACTATACAGGGTGTCCCAATAAAAAAGGTCACGCTGGCATTTTGCTATTTCAAATCCGTCCGACTTGAAATTTTGCACAGAGGTGCGGAAGGGAATTTAAAATGTTCACAGAAACTTCCAGCCCGATTGGTACAGTAGGTTTCGAATTATAACAAAAATGCTGTTTTCCCCACACTTTAGCATCATTTTTTTCGGCTATCTTTTGGACTTTGCATCGATTAACATAAATTTCCGGCTCTAAATCCCTTATTCTTCTTAACATCGGCGTCGTTAGCCCTTGTTAAAAAAATACTTAAATAGCCTTTTTTCGACCCGAATTTTGCGAAATAAAAAATTCCTAGGATAAAAAAGGGTTGGCGCTTCATTTTCTCCATACATTCCAGGGCTGAATTCCGGCGAAATCCAGGTTAAAAACGTAAAATAAAGTTTATTTTTGCTATAACTCGAAAACTACTGTACCGATCGGGCTGAAAGTTTCTGTGAACATTTTGAATTCTTTTCCGCACCTCTGTGCAAAATTTCAAGTCGATCGGATTTGAAATAGCAAAATGCCAGCGTGACCTTTTTTTTTGGGACACCCTGTAGATTCGGAAGATAATAGATTGCTTGAGTTTTGCTTGCGAACTTTATCTCTGCCCGTCTTTGTTGTCTGTCTCTATATCCCACTTGCTCGCTCTCTCTCTCTCGCTCGCTCTCACTCTCGCTCGCTGTCTTTCTCTCTCTCGCTCTCTCTCTCTCTCTTCTCTCGCTCTCTCGCTCTCTTTCGCTCTCTCTGTCTTTTTCGCTCTCGCCCTCACTATTTCTTTCTCTATCCAATTTCTACCCGGTCACGCTTGTAATATCACAAATATTTATTGCCCAACTTCCTTCAATCCTCATCCAAGCGCACAAACCACCCGACTCAGAAAATCATCATCCATGCAACTGGGCTCGGCTTGTCGACGGCAGCAAAATTCGCCAGACCTGCAGATGGCCCCAGCGCATAGATTTTCACTCTAAAAGTTTGGCAACGTTACGGTAATACCTCGAATATTATGACTTTTACCTTTTTCAACACTTTTTACCCACCTCAGCTACCGTAACCGCGAATAAGAGCAGGAGCAACGTATAGAAAATCGTGCACATTATGAATGGCGGATCGCGACCCAGGGTCTTCAGCCTTTCCTAGTGGTCGAAAATCGTTTATGCAAGCTCCATGGGCGAACGGAAATTGATTCACGGTCTGCCGTTTGGGATGAGGTGGAAGATGTGAGGGGCGCCCGAGAAATTCAAGCTGGGAAACACAGAATCGTCGTTTGGGCCTGATTTGAAAAAGTCTGTAATCACTTAATTCTTCTTGAGATATCCTGTGCACATCGATATCCATTTTCAAATAAATAATTTCGTGCGTCTCTTGTGTAGCGGTGGGCGTTTATGCATATTTATCACGTAACCCACAAACCAAGTCTCAAATCCGAGGGCATGAATGAGGGCCGCTCACGCACTCTTGCAGCGTCGCACAGCAAAATTGCCACCATTCGCATTTTTGTCCGTCACACATATCGACTTGACGGACGCGGCTCTGTAAATTTTGTCCGCCTGTTGGAAGGCATAAAATCGTAGTTCCGCTAATATAATCCCTGGAAAAGACTTCCTTGCGACGCAGGTTACTGAGCAATTAGAAACCCCTTGAATCGTCAAACTTGAGTTGCAGGTAAACAGATAAATACGGGTTTTGTATGCATTATGAGTCTATTAAGAAGCTTACAAGGGGATGGTCTCAGCTCGGAATCGAATTCGGATTTGAAAATTTGCACACTTATAGAGCTCGACGAGACAAATCGATTGGTGTAACTTTCAGCAGCAGATACCCCGAACTAACAAAGTTATAAGCATTTTTAGTTTTTGCATACATTTTGCAGATTTTTCGCCATACCTTCATAAGCCCTCCCCCCTTCCCCCATCAGCGTGGTCTGGTGGTCTAATGGCGTGGTACGCGGCGTCTGAGGAATCTATCAAGGGTTCGAACGCGCTCACGATTTTTAATTTTTGCTTTTTGGTCCAAAGATTCCTCTTGGCATTCCAAAGACCTTTAATGGCTTTTTAGGCATTCACCAGGAACCAGGAAGCGCTTGCCGCAAAAAATCCCACTCCTAAAAATTTTTGGAAATTTTGAGAGTTGGCAAGGTAACCATAGTAGGATCAGTTCAAAGAAAATAATTTTGATTATTTTCATGCAGCTTGGGAGACGATAAAGTGTTGATAAGCAGATTGCCAGCCTTCTGAAAATTTCCCCAAAATTTTTTGAGGAGGCATGAGCACAGGCAAAAAATTTTAAATTTTTCGCAAAGCTGCTTTATTGTTGGCAACGCTTCCTGGTTCCTGGTGAATGCCTAAAAAGCCATTAAAGGTCTTTGGAATGCCAAGAGGAATCTTTGGACCAAAAAGCAAAAAATAAAAATCGTGAGCGGGTTCGAACCCTTGATAGATTCCCCAGACGCCGCGTACCACACCACTAGGCCGCCAGGCCACGGTGATAGGGGAAGGGGGAGGGCTTATGAAGGTATGGCGAAAAATCTGCAAAATGTATGCAAAAACTAAAAATGCTTATAACTTTGTTAGTTCGGGGTATCTGCTGCTGAAAGTTACACCAATCGATTTGTCTCGTCGAGCTCTATAAGTGTGCAAATTTTCAAATCCGAATTCGATTCCGAGCTGAGACCACCCCCTTGTTAGATTTTCCAAAAAATTGCCAAAATCGACAAAATATATCCGCTGTACCAAAAAAATAGGGATCCGGTAATAATACAGTACTAAATTTTTCGCAACGTCGTCCGACCTCGACTACCGTAATCGCCACGGCAAACAGCAGCAGGAGCAGGATGGTGAACACGGAATGCATTTTGAATAGTGGGAATCCGAGGATTTCGTCTTTATAAGGCACGGTTTCGACGATCCCACGCTCAATCTTCGAGGCCAGAATTGATTTTTGACATAACGACGGGTGTTTTATGCTTGGTAGGGATGAATAATTCAAAAGGCCTGAGAACGGCTTCTGTAGATCCGAGTCTGCTGCACTGTAGATCCGATCGGCAAATGATGCAAGGGCATTTTTTTATCCTCTCGCTCTGCGCTCTCTCCCCCCTCTCACTCTGTTCTCTCTCTCGCTCTCTCAATCTATCTCTCTCTTTCTCACCCTCTCTATATCTATTGCTCTCTCTCCTCTAACCTTTTTGCGACAGAAAATTACCGCAACCTTAATCCGATCATTAGTGTGTTGTGCACAATCCTGAATATTTATTTAATATTGATATTATTCGCAGACTTCTCCAATCTTGAGACAAGTTCCGATGCCACCCTTCACCTGGCTGCAGCATCGGTAGCCAAGCGTACACCCGCCCGTAATTCGACCACCGCATAACTCGCCTCGTCCAATGTTTCTCTGCAATAAAAAGCTTATTAATTACTATATTACCAGCCACCTTCTAAAACTTGGCGATCATTTTGTGTAAATTCTTATCTAAAAATGATACCACAAACCCTTATGTAAATAAACTCATTTAAAACTTACCTGCTCCGCGCACATGCCGTCTTTGCAGTAATGATCTTTCGGGCAATCCTGCCACGTCGCACATTGATTCTAAATGTTTACATTTTTTGTAATTTTTTAGCTTTTTGGATCAGTGGAATTGGTTGGATTTTGTCAAGCTTTTGAAAGTGGAGCTAACTCTTGTTTCTATACAGAAACAGAAGAAAGCAAAAAATCGCTGAAGCGCTCGAACACAAGACTTCTCCTGATTTCTGATTTCTTCTGATTTCCGACCTGAATATCGGCGCGTACGGTAACCAGCACGACGGCAAAGAACAGGCAATAGAGAATGGAATGCATTTCGAATCACCCGAGCCTACCGGAGCTATTGGGGTTTTTATAGACAACGCTCCAAATTTATTCAATGTTATGTGTTTTTGTCGCCTGAAAATTCTATGTCCTCGAAGCAGTCAAAATATGCATATTTCCAGGCAGCAAAGATCATGGGGGGAAAGCTTCGATGATAATCGGATTTTCCGGGGCAGCATTGCTGTTTGAAATTTGGTGACACCAACCCTTTAACATAGGTTCTCGAGTGATTTATTGTTCTCAACGCCGAATTTTCAAAGACTATGGAATGTGATGGCAGCGTTTCTTTTCGGTGCAGTGCTTCTGTCGAGTGTTCTTTGTTCGAAAACAGCAGATCGACTTATCACAAATTTCCCACGGCGCTTTTTCGCATTTCTCGCCCGGCCAACGGACTACCTGAAAATGGGCAATGACCTCTGCTGGTTGGTATCGATAATTTTGTGTAACCCCTCTCATCCTATTTATTTTTACATATCTCTCTCTCTTTCTCTCTCTCTCTCTCTCTCTTCTCCATATCTATGGCACGCTCTATCGTACGCATCCTCTCTTGCTTTCGCTATATCTCCCGTTCTTCGCTCTCGCTGAATCTAGCTTTCTCTCTCTCTCTCTCTCTCTCTCTTTCTCTGTCTCTCTTTCTCTCTCTCACTCTCTCTCCCTCATCTCTTTCCCTCTCTCCCCAACATACCTTGGCTGTACACTGTCCGCTATGGCAGTAGTCCTCCCATCTCCCGCAATCACTGTCCATCTTGCAAAACAGCTGCAAAAATAATTTTTAACGCGAAACTCCAAACTCTAACGACATATAACAAGACATTTTCAGACCCACCACCGAGACTACGGTACCCAGCATGACGGAAAACAGGAAGCAATTCAAGATGGCCCGCATCTTTTATGGATTTCGTACGTCGCTCTGGGTTTTTACGCACTTTACTGTTTAATCATGGATTCAATAAAACCGTATTTTTTGAAAATATGCGCAAGTTGGCTCGGAATCACACGGTAGGTTTTGGCAAAACTGAAGATTGAAAAATTCGGAAAAAGCCACTTGTGATTCATGTCGAGCTTTTGAAAAATGTGGAAACATGTAACGGTTTTTGCAGAAGAAATGAAAAGCAAGGTTTTAGGTGACGAACGCTTGAATTTGATATAAATACAATTTTATTAATATTGGATTCATTGCAATACCCGATTCCCAAAATGCGTCCAATTACGGTGCTTTTAATGCTATTCCTGCTGTTTTTGTCGTCTGTCGCCTTACCCAGTCCTTACCCAGTAAGGTATCCTGTAATAGCTGTAGTTTGTCGAATTCAAAGGTTTAGCCGATAACAGGCGGTGAGGGGAATACAAGCGCATATAAGGCAACACCAAAATGATAAATAAGCTACTTTTTTTGAACAAATTTTAGAGTGACGAGTGCACGTTTCCTAACAGCTGCCAGCCCGGCTTCATCTGCTGCCCAAATCGTGCCAACTGGCACTGCTACCCGATCAACTCTGGACGTTGCTAGCTATCCACAAAATTTATGAAAATATTTCAAATTTTAGTGATTAGGTAATTACTCTAAATAAACTTTCATGGGCGTTCCATACCTTGTATTAATACTGTGCTTAACAATTTATCATCGATCTTTTAATGCCTGGCTTCGGCTTTCGGGCGATCCCTGCAATTGCTGGGGCAAAGATGGACTGAGCTGCAGCTGTAGCTAGGGAGGGTAACCGGGCAGAATTGCGTCTCCGAACAGTCCCAATTTGTCCAGCAGGGGTTCTGAAGGATTATGTTATATTTTAGCTCAAGCTTCATATCGTGAGCTTTTATTGGAAAGTTGAAAGTTTTGAACCGGGTTTTGAGCGTTAGATTTTAACACAGTTTACACCCAGGATTCCGATCAATTTATTGTTAGCCCATTTTTTCATCCTTGGTAATTTGTATGCCTTTATTCTTACTCTACAGCGTAAGTCGAAAATTTTGGTATACTTGACAGCCCTGTAGCACCGAGGGAAGCCGGGTTACAAAAATGTTTGGGAAGGAAGGGTAGACCTTGAAAATTTCCCCTTGGTAATAATTATTAATGCAACGTATTAGGCCTTCTTTTTGTGGCGTACCCCTCCCTCCGGCTTGATCCTGACGCAATTCCAGCAGGGCTCCGCCTTGAGGCAGCGGGCCGGGTAGCGGCGATCGCAGAACGTCTTCTCGGGGCAATTTTCGCCACCCCAGCATTTCCCATCGAATCCTTCCAGTGGTTCAAACGGCTTTGGGTTTGCGATGTGGCCGTTCTGTAAGGTATGATACGGTTTTAGGTATCTGTGCATTAATGGTAGGCCGAGAAAGGGCCGTTATGCTTAGGCTCAGGCTCAGGCTTTCCTCTTAAACCCACCGGATCCCCAGCAGCCACCACCGGTTTCTTGCCACACTTTCCGATGCAACGCTTCTCATGACACTCCGTATGACAATAATCTCCCTCCTTGCATTCGGAATGTGAGTCGCACTCATGCGCGCCGAGCGCGATAGGTTCGTCGGCCTGACCAGCTTCTCCAGCTTCACCGACTCCCCCCGGTCTCACCGGAATACCCGGGCCCGGAATTGTCCTTCAACTTCCGGTTGCTCTAAAAAGTCATAGTTTCTTGAGGAAGTTTGGCTTCCCCGGAAAACAACCCGCAAACCTTGTTCTAAATTCAAAGCAACGCAAAATACTAACTACACGAGTGTGGTGATTATTTATTGCATTTTCAATAAAGCAAAATCGGAAGGATTTCCTTGAACTTATAGTAAAAAAGATATAAGTTTATTAAATATTTATGGAAAACTGCTTTAATGTGTGATACTTACTGCCAAAGAGCAGGTATTATATACAACTACTAACTATTATTGCTATTCAGATATTTGTAGCTATTCGCAGTAGTAGGTTATTTATGAGCACCACTTATGTGGCCCCGGAACGTAGTCTGGTGTAATTAGGAACCATTCTGACTCTACGGGCCTTTTTCGCCTTGAAATTTCGCATATATACAATTCTTTAAATTAATTTTTTTAGAATTTCCTTACCGCTCCTGGTCTAGCGCGTTCTTGCACTCCCAGTTCCGCGTCGTCTAAAATGTTGTAAATTTGTAGTTATTTCTAACCCAATTTTTAAAAGCTAAAGTCCTTCGCATAAAAAATCACCGTTAAATAATTTGTATAATTTATTTAAAAAGCCTTAATGGTTCAAAATGGTTACCTTTGCCAATCCCGGCCTTTTTCCACGGTCCGTACCAGACCCCGCCACCAAAAACTAGCGCCAGGTGGAAGACGAGGAGAATCAGGTGCTTCATATTGAAAAAACATGCCACATGTCGTTCTGGGGGTTTTATAAAGAATCCTCATTCAAAAGGCAATTTTCCTGGGCCTGCGACGTCAATTGAAAATTTATTTTTAACCGAGTGTTGTCGGCCGGGTGGGATTTTCGCTATCTCTCACTTTCTCTCTCGCACGTTCTCTCTCTCATTCTCTCTCACTCTCTATCTCTCTCTCTGTCCCTCTCGCTCTCACTTACTCTCTCCTCTTTCTCTCTTTCTCTCTCTCTCTCTCTCTCTCTCTCTCTCTCTCTCTCTCTCTCTCGCTCTCGTTCTCTCTTTTTGTTTTTTTTTAAATTGGAAAGGTCATTACCGTTTTCCGAAGTACGGCTTGCAGGCTTTCTCTGAAGGATGCCTGAAAGTGCTAATTTGCGGCGCTGGCAATTTGGCGTTTCTGAGAGTTGCTTCAACTCACGGAAAATGCTAAAATCATTAAACCTGTTGGTTTTCGCGCTTAATCTGAACACTCTTACGTGAAATGCACCCGTCCTAAAAGCAGTTAACTAGACGACACGTCGTCTCACCGGACAATAGATCAAGCGACGCGGCTTGCTTTGCCCTTTAACGCTAGAAATCTTACCCTAAAAACCATTCAAACAACGAAAAAAGCCGATACCGTAAGAGACTTCTGGGCCCCAATCCGGCGTATTTTAATCGTTTTGGCGTCAGAGTCCATCCAAACAATCCCGTCCATTTTCTGCCCAAAACATACCCCTCGAACCCCCAAATTAAACTGAAATTTTAGAGACCTGGGCCAAAATGTGCCCCCAAAGTGAGAGGCGTTGAGTTTTCAAAATCACCTACCTTGGTTCGCGCAATATTCCTTTATTCATAAGTTCCCACGCCGGCGCGTAAAAAACAGCACGGCAAACAATTTGGCAGACAGAAATTGGATTCTGGTGTTCGGCATCAATAAAAGATTAGCTATTACCTGGTGGAAATGACTTCATGTCAAGGACTGGCTCTAATGCATTTTTCACCAGCTTTTGAGTTCAGGGTACGTTAATTAATACCTAGCCGGGTAAGTGTTTGATTTAGGACTGGTCAATTCTTTTCATTTTTCATTTTTCATTTTTACATATTTTGAGGTGTAGGCCAGATTAATGAATACCTTAGTCAGAGGAAGCGATTGATTCCGAGTCTTCCAACCATTACATCGGATCAGATTCATCGGAATATTACATTGAATCCTACGGCAAAACAATTTTTAAAAAGCCTGAATGCGGAAAGCCATCTCGAGAAGGCTGATTTTTATATCTTTGGTCTTTTGATTTTTAAGCCACAATGATACCGCGTAGGTTTAGTGTCCGTGCCCCACCTACTTTTCAAAGACGCATCGTAGCTCACGGCAGGTGCTTTGCCAAGAGTTCTCGTGAAAATCAGTTTTTTTCGGCACCATGGCTTGCGCTTGTTGAGGGTCGACAAACTATGCATTCAAAACTTCTCGGCCATAGGAATTCCCTGGGGGTTGAAAAATTAACAAAAATATGGCTTGGAAACGGCAAATTAGGCGATAGAACCTTTGTGGAAATTCAGAAATTACTCTTTTCATTTCAATTTTGAAACTGCTAGTTTTTGCTTAAAATATTGCTTTTTCGATGGCTTTTTCCTTTTTATTAATACTGTTGTCCCCTCGTAGCAGTCTTTAATTTATGCTTATTTCCAGACCATGAACGATGCCGAGTGCACGGCAGCTGCGGCCCCTTTTCAGGGCTACATGCCATTTCGATTTGTACTGTTGACACATGTTATCCTGGGCATTATCGGCATTTCGTTGAGCATCTACTCCCTCGGCGTCGTCCGGAGATCGTTTTTCCATCCGAATTGCAAGGTCTATTGTGTTAAAAAGATCAAGTTTCGATTCAGATCCTTCTCCTCGCCATCGTCGCCTTATTTATTGCGCACGGTGTTGGGTTATCGGTGCCATTCGTGAGTTTTTTCGTTTTTTTGAGCACGTCCCCAAAAGTACACTTGACGATGAAATTGCACTCGAGAAATGCTATAAAAGTGCGTTTTAAGGGGACTAGCAAGCCTGGGGATCGACCACTGTCCTCCCCTAGCTCTCGACAGATATACATAGCTACAACTGGCTCCTATAAGCTTGAAAGAACGGAGCCTTAGAATGCTTACCAATCTGCTTGAGGTCGTGACACGCAACGCGCACCCGGCCCTTACATCGCGTAATCGAGCTAGCTTTTCTAGCCAACACCGGCCAAATTCCGCGCATGCGTTTCGCAAGCGCTATCTAAAAATTCCTAAAAATTGTATCGTAGCTGTCGAGACCCAGTCAGGGCCAGGCTTCGATTTTTTTTTGCGGTTCTCGCCCATTTACCTTTCATTTTCCAGAGTTACCATGTCTACGCCTACTCCACAATGACCGGCTGTCAGTTGATGGTCTCCGAGGCTGTCTGCGACATCATTCGAGCTCCTGCCAATTTTGCTGTTTTTGGCTGCTCCTCGTTGCATTTTGGGTTATGTCTGGAGCGAATAATGGCCCGCTACTATGCGCGGCGCTACGAGACGATGAGGCCAATTTTTGGATGGGGATTGTTGGGGGCATCGGTTAGTCGTGTCTAATTTCAAGTAGGAACCGGACGTTATTTTAAAAAGATGACGTACCGCAACGTAAATCAAACGTAAACAAATCAAATTATCAACACTGAAACGTTCTGAAGCTGCGAAAATATCTGGAATTGCGAATAAAACGCTGCAACTACGTTACGCTCCTCTCCATCTCCGGAAATTGTGCGCTCTGAACACTAGTTTGCGATAACTGTACCATTAATGCCAGTCAGCGAAAGCTAAAAGTTATCTTACCTTATTTTCATTCTATCATCAAACAATTGGAAAATAAAATTATCTTTTTCAGTTACTAACCACCGCTCTCATCTACGCCTATTGTCTACATCGAGAAGATTTCTCCATGATGGTCCCCTATTGCACGCTGGGCAACGCGAATACGGGCGACCAACTTGATCGAGTGCTCAAAATTTTGCCGTCCATCGATCTTGCTAGCGTAATCGTTATGGTCTACCTGGCAGCGACGACAAAAAATTCGAAAAAGTAGGTTTCCGTGATTTTCATTTAGTTCGTATTTTCACTTCAGAACCTACGATCTTGGCGCGAGTTTTTCAAAGTTGGAAGGCAGAAGCGCTAATAGGTTATTGTTGCCGTTTACGAGTAAGTTATACCGGAATTAATTTTATATCTTTGAGCTGTTACTATATCTTCAGGTTAAATTCCGGTTTTTAGTAGTTCACCTAGTCATCGGACTTGGATCAGTATTTCTAAACGGTTATTTGCCTGGAATAATGCCGGCGTCTTGGACATTCGAATTGCGGAGGACAGTATTGGCCGGAATAAATGTAAGGATATGAAAAATTTCGTGAAGTTCTTTAATAAGTGAATTTAGTTAATCTCCGTATATGCAATCGTCGGTTGTTTGACGCTGTTGTATATTTTACGAAATATTCAGCGGAAGCGGCGACAGGTGAGCAATATTCTAAATTTTTTCCTGAAAGATTTCGACGAGATACACGGCTCAATACAGCAACGAACATTTGCGCGTGATCTTTTCCATAAATTCCGGCGTTTTTTTTCTTAAAGTACTGCTTGCGTTATGTGCCTCGGCAAAATGGGAATCCATAACCATGACTTGCCCTTGCCTTAAATACTTTGAAAGCGGAAGCTGACTTTGAATAGCTCAAGTAGCATTTTCCAACTTCCTAGGTTACATTGAATCGTGTTTTTGTATTTTAGCGTTATAGAGTATTTTAGAGTATCTAAAATATCATTTTACGAATAGTTTTACGGATTTAACGACCTCTAACACGCTCTTTTTCAGAAAATCTTCAAAATCCTAACCCCAATTAACGACACCTCTGTTATCCACAACACGTACGCGCAGCACTGGTGATATGGAATTGTTCATCGCGCCCCGGCCTACCCAATACAATATTCAAAATTGGGCAGCGAGGCCGACCGGAAATCTGGAGGCAAATTGAACAAAGCATAGACCCGTAATTGAAGCAAGGGAGAGAGAATGAGACCGTCACAGCATCGAGATGTTGATTCAATTCGGAAAGTGGGGCTAGCGTAGTGCAGGTTTTAAAGGGACGCGGAAGGTAGGAAAAATGTAACGTCTACCGTTTTTTCGGCAGTTATAAATTTTTTCGTTGCCTTCCCAATCGCTTTAAAGCCGTTAAATAATTGAGAAAAAGCAAAATTCTATTATAATAATCAAGTAGCAATCGATATGACAACAGGAACATGGCACCCAGTAGTAACGTCAATCAGAGCTGTCGCCACCAACGAGCTCTTCCGCCGCACGAACATGTTTTTGTCGATTTTTGCGGAGCACTGCGTGCCCCGCGTGCTTTTTTTGGAGTCGTGGATCGGGTGGCTGTCTGGAAAGAAGAATTCGTTGCAGTAGGTTTAGCCTAAGTCTATGCCTAAACCCAAGCCTAAGCCTAAGCCCAATCCGTAGCTTCAGCCTAACCCTAAGCTTGACTTACCTTCAGAATCCGAATCCACCAAGTGCTGCATGTCGTCAAATAGCGGGTCAAAAACCAGCCGACTGTCCATCGAACATTGAACACCCGTGTCTTTTGTACCTCTAAACACATTCAATGGTTTTTGAACTTCTGTTTTTGACATAGACTTTGATTACAGTAAGCCGGTCGTTAAAGCTAGTTCGTAAGCTTTTTTAGTTGTTCTAAAATGTCGGAAATCACGCGAAAAAACCTCTAGATTCTCCGCGGATACATGCTCCATTATTACGGTATTACGATACGGTTACGATAAGGAACCCGGCTTCAATAAAAAAGGTATAAAACTGCTTATATAATCTACGAAACAAACCTAATCACAAGACATGCATCCGAGTTATTCGCTGACAGAGCGAACGACCTGAAAAGCCGGATTTGTAGGAGATTGGGAATGGGGGGGATAAATCGAGCTAAAATTAGTACGGGGTTAGTCGACTTTCCGGATTTGAGTCGCGAATTTGCATATTAGGTTATAGAAAATGCTTTAGGATATACGCTATTATTCAGAAGGAGAGGGTACGAAATCTGTAGTAAGAGAAAGAAAGATGCAAAAAATTTATTCTAGAAAAATATTTTAGCGTCACAGTTCTCATAGGTGTGAATAGAAATTGTAGTTTCCAAGGTTTGGGCCAAGCAGTGAACTGGGTGAAACAAATCCATAGGTAGCTATGATGCTTTTCTCGTCCCCTTAAAAAATAATTTTGTGTTTCCTTAGGCGGTAAAGCTTCGGAAAAATGTATTTTAACGCTAGAATATATCGTATTTAATCTACTCAAAAATGGTCAAAAAAGCACCTCACTGACTGATTGTCGTCAAGTTTCTCGTCAATAACCTCGACGATAATCGTCGGCGACCAGCGGCTATATCTAAATTCCCCCGTCTTTTGTATTGGTGCCTCGAGAATGCCAACGAATTTCTCAAGCAACATTGATATGCAAATCTCAATCCCATTCCGGACAGAGTGAAAGGGCAAGGGAAGGTAAGGCTATGGATTTTACGGGAAATCATTTTTTAAGGATTTGCGCTGCGTTAACAGTCCCTAATCCATCAAATGACCCGAGAATCCGGAATCTCTTCGGCTTCGTCCCGGTTGCGTATTGCGTCGCATGTTGCGTCGCTTCTCGGGCTGCATTTTGCGATGCGTGTCACGTTGGGTTTTACGTGCCGCCTGGAGTTTCCTCTACGTTTCGCGTTGCGCCTCGCGTTGCGTATCGCGGCGCGGCGCGTGTCGCGTTATATGTTGCGTGGCGCGGGAAAATGTTATAAAGCCTTATAGGCAAAAAAATCCATATCATACCTTCTCTGCTCTTTTTAGAAGAAGAAGATAAGTTTTCTATGCAATTTTAACAAATCCGGAAAGCCAACCTCCCTTTCAAAAATCAATAAATCAAAATTTGGAAAAATTGCAAGCGCAAGGCCGAGCGTTCCGCGCAAACGATACCTGAGGCAATGGGGTGAAGTTTTCGTGTGGTTGGTTGATTGTGGGGTGGATACGGTAGCGAGGGCAGTATTTAGAAAATGGATGTGCCACATGCCACTACTGGGTGTACAACAGGCCATTGTAGCTGGACGAGGACGGCGATCTGTTCGTGGAAAAATGGGAAATAATAGAGAGGAAAAGAAAAATAAGCCATTTCTAAAATCGTGATGTTATTTGTGGTCTTGTGTTTTTGGTTTAATTTATTTCAAGAAACCTCAGAAATTTTGAAAATTGGTTTTAAAAGTTTTTGTTGTATTGTTGCGTTATCGTTTTACCCTTATTAATTTTAAGCAATTTCCAAAAGTTTTTTAGAAAAAATTCTGATTTTATTAAATCTCTAAAGCGGTTTTGGCCTTTTTCGGGAGTAAAAAAATGGCTTTCTGAAGCCATTTTACTAAAAAATCCTCAAAAAGCCTTAAACTCAAAAGATCTTCTACGCTCAAATTTACAATGTTATTACAAACTTTCGCTGAGCAATCCAAAAAAAAGTAAAAAAAGTTCAAAAGAAATAGTAGAACCGTGCTCGCTAGGGCATTTATCGGTGACGGGCGTTCGGCTGGGGTTGAGATTTTGCGTGCAAAAAGAATAGGAAGGTCGCAAAACAATACCTTCGAGTCTCGTTGAGGCAACTCGTTTCCAAGGCTAGCGAGCTGCTATCTTTTCGCTTTTTCGGGCGGAAGCAGATGGATTTGAAGAAGCGTGTGATGCACATTTGTTGGACCACCTGGAATAAAAGGTAACGCTTTGACTCGTCCTTTCTACCTTGCCTCTTTCTCTCTTTCTTTCTCTCTCTCTCTCTCTCTCTCTCTTGCTCTCTCTCTCTCTCTCTCTCGCCTACCTCTCTAAACTGCTGCGACATCCCGCAGTAGATGGCAAATCGGAAGGGGTACGAGATGACAATTAGAACATTCCTGAAAAGCCCCTCCTTCATTTTTAACGTTTTTGTTTTTCGCACTGTTCATTCCACTTTTTGGACCAGGCCCTGTAGGTCCAGGATTTCCGGCTTTCAGTCTCGTTTCCGGTATGATTTCAAAACACAGAGAGGTACACCAACGGGAGGTCAATATTTTTTAGATGTAGAGTTCCCTGACTACAAGGAGTCCTCGATTTTGTGGAGATTGACAACAAAACGCAAAATGAAAAAAATTGGCTTTCGACAATCGAAACAATACATACCTAATAATAAGCGACGTATTCAGCATTTGATAGTTTGTGTGGCCGAGCCGGAAAGAAACGGAAAGCACGTGGACTGTGAAGATCATCGCGGCCGGGATTTCGGTGACCAAGAAGAGCAAGATGACCACGACCAACATTCGAGTGTTCTAAAGAGTTTTGGGTTTCAAGCCTAATATTGAGCCTAAACCTAAGTCTAAGCTCTAAGCTGTAATGCTTTTTGCTTACCTGCTTCAAGCCCTGTACCCGTTTCGGCTCGTTGCTGTTTTTCTTGTAGATTTTTGACATTTTCCGCACCAGGCTGTCCGTAGCTAGTGTCGATCTAAAAACATCAATTTGATAGATACCTAAAATGATAAATCATGATAAGACTTAAAACCCAATAGACCAAGGAGGAATGGTTAATTTAGCCATCATGCTGTCGTTCTGTTTTTATAATTTTTCATGCAAAGCTCAGGGTTTAGAGTTTTGAGCGTTATTGGCTGTATTTTGTAGCCAGCGCTTACCGAAAACTGCTGTAGTCCCTAGAAGAAAAAAATGGGTAGGTTAAAGCAATTGAAAAGGAAAAATACCTCCGCTTCTCATTGCCAGATGACATATTTCCGACTGATATCGTCATGCTGCCACAATCGATCGATACCTCGTCGTCTTGTTTTCGATGGTTGGGGACTCTGAAAATGGCTTTTTAAAGGGGTTGGCATGGACAGGTCGGTTTACTTTTGCTCTCTCACTCTCGTTCGCTCTCTTCCTCTTACGGTCGCTGTCTCTCCCTCTCTCTCTCATTCTCTCTCTCTATCTCTCGCTCTCTCTCTCTCTCTCTCTCTCTCTCCCTCGTCCTCTCTCTCCTTCTCGCGATTCTCATGACCGGTGGATTTTCTTTCCTGATTTGCAAGTTAATGCGTTATTTGGATCATGGAGCTAGTGGTAGTCGACTTTGGCATTTCCTAACCCCTTTAAATGCCCCAGGAAGTAAAAAAAACGTCGCGGATTCTGAATGAGCTTGCGAGGATACTGAGGTTCCGCACTTCCAACCGGTTCTGAAATTTATTTCCCCTTAAGAGTTTTTCCTAGAGCTCTGATACTTTGAACTTTCCCAGATTCTAGATGTTCGTCCCCTAGCGCTTTTTATCTCCTTTCCATTTCCTACCCCCCAAAAAGAACCAAATTCCAGTTCGTTAGCCCCCGGGGAGCGCAAAGCTTTGGTCTTGGGCCCCTCGCCGTGCGATTTTCCCAGATGAACTTCCGTCTGATCCAGTTGGTTCCTCTTTGCAGCCCCTTTCAACTCGACTCGAAAAAGACGCAAAACGGTCCGCGATGCAACAATTTCCGGGGGGTTCTGGGAGAGAGGTCAACTTGCGTCAGAGTCAGACTGGGCGAACCAATTTCCGTAGCGGGAAGGGTAATATGGTTAGCATTTTTTTGGGGGATCGGTAGAAAGGTAGAAATTGGATGGACCGGAAAAAGCAGCTCGGTTGTAAAATGCTTAAATCTTTTTAGATACCAAAATTGACTAGACGAGCACGATAACCTGCGAGGGGTACTTTTAGAGGCGAATTTTTACTTCGTAAAAATGTTTTTCGACATTTTTTCAGTGTTAGAGACAAAGAAATTTTGAGTGGCATACTGTATTTTTTTTGTCGGTTTCAACAGAAAATAACATTCTAAAGGCGTGGTACCAACGAGAAACCCAGAAGAATTCGTGCTTCGGAAAAAGCGGCAAACATTTTTATGACGCATAGACATTTTGGAATAGCCGAAAATCAATTTGAAATCTACTGAGTTGCCTTCACTCACAATTCACGCTCCCTATTTTTCAAATCCAGCTTTATTTCGTCAGCAGCTACTGCTGAGGTATTTCTCCGTTGCGTTCTCGTCACTCCCTAGGTATCCCCAGGAGCAGGGCCGTAACAAACCCAAATTTCGGGGGGGGGCGACCCCAAAAATTTTTCACTAACAAGGGAACCTCAAGTTGGCACGGTGGAGTTTCGAAAAACGCTCGCGGCTACCCCTAGGTTTTCGACTATGGCGATTCCAACGGTCGTGTCAGAATTTCCTAAATAGACCTCTGGATAGAGATACAGTACTTCCGGAAAATCATCTTTTACATCCGAAAAATTAGCATTAGCGATAGGTTTATGAGGCTCTCCCATCACTATGGAATCACCGGTTGAATGGCCGAGTGGTAAGCGACTCGCTTGATAGAATACTGACGAGGGTACGGATCCGCTCGCGATTTTTTTCTTTTGCTTTTTGTTCAGATCTACTTCAAGTTTTTATTTTTAATATAGGAAAACTTTTTGATTATTGCCCCAGCCTGCCTGACTGCTCCAAAGTAGTCTCAAACTTCGAAAGATTTTTTGGAACGGCTCGGTGTTCTCATCTCCGTTTTTTTTCGAAATGGGTTTCTATGATTGACCGTATATGATTTTTTTGCCTAGTTGCTTTGCTAATAATTTTTTTCAGACATTTCAGAAAGAGAACTAATTTTCGAAAAATAGCCAAAACTTGGAGTTGGGCAGAAATTCTGAACAAAAAGCAAAAGAAAAAATCGCGAGCGGATCCGTACCCGCTCAGTATTCGATCAAGCGAGTCGCTTACCACTCGGCCATTCAACCGGTGATTCCATAGTGATGGGAGAGCCTCATAAACCTATCGCTAATGCTAATTTTTCGGATGTAAAAGATGATTTTCCGGAAGTACTATATCTCTATCCAGAGAGGCCTATTTAGGAAATTGTGACACGACCAAGTTGGAATCGCTTACAGTCGAAAACCTAGGGGTAGCCGCGAGCGTTTTTCGAAACTCCACCGTGTCAACTTGAGGTTCCCTTGTTACACGACTAAAAACTACAGCGCCGCAGGTGTGGCCTTTGAAAAATAAAGGTTTATAACACTCAAAACTAGGTGTTCAAAATAGCCAAAAACAGCGCCGCAGGCAAAATTTTTTTTGGAAAAATCAAATCATAAGGGTCCCCTATTATGTACTTTTGGGCCTTCGCTGATTTCGGGGCGGCCTGCCCCCTGCCCCCTCCATTACGGGTCTGCCCAGAGGCCCCACAGATCCGGAATCTTTAGTTTTTGTGGCCCTCCCAAAATCCCATTATCGACGAGCACGCTGACGATGGCATTCGCCAGGATTTTCCGCCTGTAATGATCCTCCAGCGGGGGGAACCCCCGCTGGAGGAACGGCAAATAGGGTTTTGGCCCTGGGCCCTGTCACCGGGCTTTGATTGTCGAAAATAGGGCTGATTTCGGCTAGGGGAAAGCTGGGGAACACGGGGTTTTTGAGGGTTTTCGAAAACCGTTTAAAGGTTGCCGACTAGGTTGTAGTTATATATTGGAAAAGCAGTCGTCAGAAGCTCTCAGACAGGAAAAAGTAGTCAACTAAAGCGCACTTTTGAAAGGGCAAGACTAGCTCCTAATCGATTAAGAATTTGAAAACCGATGATGCATTGCCAGTCGCCATTAAAGGGACGGTGACAGCGGGGGCAGCATGGTATCTAGATCATTGCCGCACCTTGCTCTCTATCGCTCTACTCTCTCTCTCCCCGCGCGCTTTCATGCTTCAAGAAAATCATCAAAAAATTTTAAGTCCTCGTTAATTTTTCGAAATATATCCAAACATTCCTGTCGCCCAGAATCTCTTGTACTAATCGTACAATTTCACTCCAATACCTACGCCCCACGAATGGTCAACCAATATTCGGTCATCTCCCTCAAAAAGTCAAATCCCATCCCCGCGGCCATCCCATTAGTGGTGTTTTTGTCCTTCCCGGGACCCGCGCCAAAAGCGTCGGCTTTTCGGGGTAAATAGGATAATCCCGGCTCTAAGAAAATTGCCCCAACTAGTCGTAGATCGTCAACGGCTCGTCACACGCTTTGATGGAAAGTCAAGTGCGACTCGGTCAACATGGGACATTTTCGGGGTATGGAAATCGAGCGGATGCGGTAGGTGGGTTGGAAAATAGGTTTGAGCCTGGAGGTCAAGGGCTCGGCTTGGCTTACTTAGGCTTAGGCTTGGTTTTAGGGTAATGCTTAGGCGTGGGCTTGGGCTTAAGCTTAGGGTTAAGCTGGGTTGTTTTTTGTTACTTAGATTATCAAAAAAAAACTTACTTTTTCATCAAATGCAAATGCCGCTTGTCAGCTTCTCGAATCGCCGAAACCAGCTTCCACGTAAAAATTACAAGAAGTAAGCAGGGACCCGAGTGGACGAGTACGGTTTGGATCGTGTAGAAAACCTAAAAATGCCGGATAAGGTACACAAATTTTGCTTACCTTGTAATACAAATTCGGGCCGATCCACAGCAAGAATCCTGACTGTGTACGGTAGCATTGGCGAGATATCTCTGAAGAAGTGAATACTTTACGCTTTTAAAAACTTACGCCCTGTAAAGATGTTCTTGACGACTTTTGATTGGTGGTAATTTGCTAACGCCTCTGGAGCATAGATCAAGGTCGAGAAGATCCAGATGAATATCAGGACCTTGATGTGCATATTAAAAAAATGCTCAATAAGCCGTCTCTACCTTCTTACTATATTTGATCGTGCAAAACCGCCTCACAAGGGTCGGTATGCAAATGTAGACGTAGCGCTGGATGGCCAGGTATACGGTAAGGTAGATAGCCGTCGCGTGAAAGATGGAGGGGAAGAATGAGGCCATGAATGGAATGAGTTGGCACCAAATTGAGGGTAGGCCCGACTCGGCGTCAGTGTGGTAGCCTGAAAATTGGTTTATTCTGTAGCCTGGTCAAAATTGTACAGGATAGGGCCTGAACGCGCTCTCACTCTCTTTCTCTCTCTCTCTCTCTCTCTCTGTCGCGCTCTCTCTCTCCTTCTCGCTTTTCTTTTGATCGCCTTCGTTGGATAGAAGCGGATTTAAGATTCTAAGTAAGTGCAAGACTATCTTTCTCTCTTTCGCTCCTCTCTCTCTCTCGCGCTCTCTCTCTCTCTCTCTCTCTCTCGATTTCTTTTCCCTATCTATATTCTGGAAATCAGCCGCCTGCTAAATTGCAACATTTTCTTCCTCAACCCCCGTATCCGATCCGACCCTTTTTCTGCTTCCAGCCCCTCGGGTGACCTCGTGAGCGCTTTTTCACCACTCCTCGCGACCCCAAAAAAGACGTTCTTCCGGCCCTTCAACTGGGCCTTCTACACGTCTTCTTCTTCTCGAGCCCCCCGGCCCCCCAATTAGGATGCCATTGCACATCTTCCCTCCGTGGGGGGCACTTCGTTTTTCATCCAATTCCGCCGACCCCGACAGACCCCACACACACACACACAGCTTGGGGCAAAATTTTTTATAGGCTGGCTCTAGACGTGTCGGGATTAAGACAGATGAGAATGCGATTAGTCATCTGGTGTAGAAAACAGGGGCTGATTTGGCTGAAGGCAGCGAAAATCGAAGCCAAAAATCTAAAAATTATCCCATTCTTTATAAACAAGTGAAGCTAGAGGTTGCAAACTGGAAGCAGCGAGCCGTATGCGCCTGTAGATACATCACGGCTTCTGCGCTTCTGCCTGATGTATCTATTCGATCATTCCAACTTAGCTTCCGTTTTCTGGGTAATGGTTGACGAGTCGGGTTTGGATATTTCGGAGGAACAAAAATGAAAAGAAAATGGAGTAATCCAAGGGTTTTGGCTTAGGCTCAGGCTTAGGCTTCGGAATAAGCTCATTCATAGGCCCAGGATTAGGAGCTTGATTAGGCTTATAGACTTTTTAAACCTATTCTCACTCACAAGGGACAACGACACGCGGCTTTAGACCAAAAAATTGTGGTTTCCCAGTCGCCAAGCAAATTTTGCGCTCGTTTTTTACTTCATCAGCTACGTAGCACCTTCCTAAATTTGGAATGCAGCTACATACTAGGTTTTTAAGAATTTTAAGAGATCTAAATTTTAAGAAGATACGACTACATACGTTCCGTGCGTTTTGAGAAACCGGATTTTTTTTTAAGCTTGAACCCCCAAAAATTCCCGCCGTTCCCCAACTTCCCTTACTCCCCAATCGTAACACACCCCTTTCCGACATTTCCGACCAAATAAGTCTCACCCCTTCCTTTCGACACATAAAAAGCTAGCCCTATCCCCCCATGGCTTCATCTGATTGGTCCAATTAGGCGCACTCCCTCCGTCCCCTTAATTAGAGGTGAAAGCAGGCCCACACCGGAAAAAGCCTCAGCACACGCGTCCCAGCTAGACCATCAGACCCCGGGGCTGGAAAAGGGCCAAAAAACGGGCCCTCCTTATTTGGTGAATCCAACTAAGTCTCGCAAAGTCCAATCAAAAGATGCCAGCAGGCTGGACATTTAGAGGCTTTTTCTGCAGAAAATTGACTTTGCAGAAGTGGAATTAGGCGGTCTAAGAGGAGTCTAGTTTTTGAAACTGTGGGAAATCTCGCAGTATGTGAACGTGTTAAAAGAAAGTGAAGTGGAAAGAGAGAGCGAGAGAGAGAAAGAGAGAGAGAGAGAGAGAGAGGAAGAGATAGAGAGAGAGAGTGATGAGGAATAGATCTTTTGATGAGTCTTGCTTACCTCCGAAGGTGTAGTAGTACAAAAACCACGGGATACAACAGACGCCGGTGAGCAGCTCTGGAAATTACTCGCTTTAAACGGTTCCGCCCCCCAAAAGTGACAGATTCAAAACAAGGAAAACCAGCCATTCAGAAACGCTAAGAGGGGAGGCCCCAAAAAGTCAACACGCTGACAAACTGAAGATAAGTTAACCCGTCACCACCAAAAAAAACGGAAAAACCAAGGATACCAACAAAAGTCGATTTGAATCCCACTTGGATCATACCTGAAACAGCCATAGCCAACAGCACGAAATTCGTTGGTGTCCTCAGGTATTTGTGTGATAGTACGACGACGATGAACGAATTCGTGGCCACCGTCAGCGCGACCACCAGCGGCATTAGGTACCCGTACAGGGGGAGGGCCCATTCGAGTGGCACCTTAAGAAATATAAAATATAGAACATACGCTTAAGCAATTCCCAGACTTGTTTTAACTTTTTTATGCTCGTAAGGCTACCGAATTTAGCAATTTTTCAGTAACTCTCAAAGATCGCTCCAGTTCCCGCTCCAGCATTGTCAAAATCCGGACCGGAAACCGCCCCCGCCGGCATCCTGGTTGACCCCCGGTTTTCCCCCATGGCTTCCCGGTTCCATAGCCCGGCCCTTTCGGTGCCTAACGAACCGCGTATTTTCCGGCTTTTCGCCCTCAAAATTGGCTTTTTCGCGAAAGCCGTGTAGAGAGAGACCCAGGGAGGAGCCGGACGGGTGGGTGGCCCTTAATTCGGGTTGGACGATGGACTTGTGTTTTGAGAAATGCCGGCCAATTTCGACGGGATCTCGTTGGGTCTCGGGATTGGAGATTCGAGTTGTTTTCTTACCGGAAACGCTAAGTCTTCCTAAAAGCAAAAGTAAATGGTCAGGCGGGGATGGATTTCGAACCTGGGTCTCAAGCATCGTGAGCATGAAAAGGTGAAAAAATCATTTTTGAGGCCAACCTAACGATTTTCTGACAAACGCCGAAATACGAAAAGTTTGTGGAAAAATTCTATCAAATCCCGACCAAAAATCCCGACACGGGAAATGCCGACACGCTAACAGCTAAATGAAGGGAAAGTTAATTTTCCACGCTGGAATCCCGATAATGGAAATGCCGACATGCAAAAGGCTAATTACAGTGTTAACGCTTCGGCATTTTGAACATAGCTATTTACGCTGTCGGCATTTTTTACTGCTAAGTTTTCTAGACATTTCGAGCTCCTTCGGGCCAAATCCAACCTTGAAAATTTGTGGTGTTCTACTTTCCGCTGCGCTTTTTCAATATGTAACCCGACCCTTCGCTCACTCACCTGCCGGGCGATATTTATCGCCGCGCATGTTTTTTCGTGAAAACAGGGCGGAGGGAGGAGTGTGTCGTTCACAATAATTTCCGTCATCTTGCAGCGGGGACGGACGGCGGTTCGTATTTCATACGATCAACATCTGGAAGTACGGTAAAGGGTGTGTGCGGTAGAGAAAGAGAGGGAGAGCGAGAGAGAGAGAGAGAGAGAGAGAGAGAGAGTGGGAGCAAGTGATTGAAAAATTTTTTTGAGTGAACTTTTTTTTTGAACACGAAAAATGTATGAATTTTTATTCATTTTAAACTAAATCCTAGTCCACCCGCCCCCTCAAATTCTCCCCCGCCTGGGACACAGCGGATAAAATGTTTGTGACTGGCTGGAAAAACCTGAACGCCGGTAAATAGAAGCCTTTGCAATACCCCCGGCAAGCTCGAGGACATCATCAGGAAAAGCCGGTAATTGTCCACGTCGATTTTGTTTATTTGGCGGAACGGTGGGAGGGCGGCCTCAAGAAAGTACTTCACGGGCCGCCTGGGACGTCAATCCCGAAATTTGGCAAAATGAAAGGACATCGAAAGCGGAAGAGAAAACATCCGAATTAAGGGATGGGAAGCCGGGAGCTAAGCAGGTCTTCCAAGCTTAGGGAGCAGCCGGAAGCTAGAAAGGAGCAAGATAGGCTAGCAGAGGTTTTTTGGGAATTAGCTAGACGAAATCAAAAGGGATCAATGGCAGGGATCATTTACGCTCAAGTTTAAACTACGACTTTCATAATATATCCTATCCTATAAGCGAGAAAAGTATGTTTGTTTTCTGTACGGCCGTTTTCTCGGCCGTCAGGCCGAATTTCGAGCTGATTTTTGGCATGGAGGTGGAGAACCACATTCGCCAAAAACGCATTTTTGTTTTCCCGAAATTCCTCCATTTAACACTTTTACAAGCAAAATAGTAAAAATCCTTAACAAAATGGGCGACGAGCCGTGGTGTTCGGGCGATAACTCGAAGCCCAGATGGAATTTCCGGCTGAAATTTAGAACACTTATGTATTCGGTATCGGGGATCATGCGCAAGCAGTTAGTTTTTAAAAATATTGTAATTCCGTTGTATAAAATGCACATTTGTAAAATTGCTTTTTGCCAGCTGCTCAGGGCCAAATTGGAGTAGTTGGCCGGCTGGAAAGATAGAGCAGAACCTGATGAATCTTGACTCTTTTGAATTTTTAAAATTGGTGGAATTTCCGGGGCGATAGAGCCGTTTTTGTTTCGGAGAGGGCCGCCCTTTTGGAGCGCCTGGGGAGTTCCCCTCTGTGTCCCCAGCCCGTCCCGACTCGCCCCCCACCTAACCCATACCCAGGTGATAACCCCCAAGGTTTTCGAGCGCTGCCGGGTGGCTGGCCGAAAGGTTAACACTGAACAGCCACCTTCCTAGAGCGCCCCAGCAATGGGTGACGAATTTCTGGCCGATACGCTCAAGGGGGAGTCGTCCTCCGATGGTCATTCAAATTTAAACGCTCGCTCCCTTGGGACGCCAAGGGGTTCAGCTAGCCTGTTGCTGGACAAGCCAGACCCGGAAGGGATGGTTCGGCCTGACGGTCGTAATGTCGGTCCTGTTGGCACCAGTACCGATCTGCCGGACCCGGTAAGGGTGTCGGAAGCAGCTGAGCCTCAGCAGGGTACGAAGAAGAGAGGGCCTGCCGATTGGACCCGAAGAGGTAGCAATACCGAGGTTCAATTGGCTGGGCGAGTAGCGGCACCCTCCAGCTGTTTTCCGGGACAACACCCCGCGGCCTATCCAGGGTGTGCAAAAAAAAAAGACCACAGTTTGGGTCGAAATAACTCGCGAACGGTAGAGAATCGAAGGTGCGTTGCCATGCCAGAATGCTTAAATATGCTGGGCATGAAGATTTAACACAACTTGATTTTTTCGATTTTTGAGTACGAAACTGTACTATTGACGCTGGTTACGACCGAAAATTGTGCGTTCTTGAACGGGAGGTGGGAAAATTCTGATTTTGGGCCTAAAAATAGTATAAATTTGGAAAAATGTAATGGCAAACTCTTAGAATTTATCGAGGTCACTTTCATTTTTTAAAAGCAAAACAATTTTCGCGATATTGCGTTATTTTTGTTCTTTGAGTCATAACTCGCTTATAACTCACTGCCCATGGCTGATATTTTGCCAATCATTTATCCAAATATTAATCTAGGATTCCACACCAGAACCCACCACAATCTATGGTATTTTTGTATTGCTTGCTAAAACGTGCCCCTGTGGGGGTACTGTAGGTTTCGTTTTTCCCGCTTTTCTCGGGGCCCTTAGCTTCGATCCGGCTGAAATTTTCTAGATTGTTAGGCAATAAGTAGAGGCACCTTACTGCCAAATACGAGAGCGTACTATCCACAAACGTTCACGAAAAAGACTAAAAATTGATTTTTTAATCCTGCGGCAGAATTTTGTAAATTTTTTGGTCAATTCGTCTAAAAACTGCTACTATTGGTTTTACGAAAAGATCGAAGCGATTACATGGCAAAAACACCACGAAAATCGCAAATTTCGGTTTTCTACCGTAACCCACGTGGAGCGCGTTTTAGCATGCCATCCCAAAATTCCATAAAGTGACGATTTTTCAAGTCGAGGACCTTCTAGAGTTGATTGTAAGACAGCCTATTAAAAATTACTGATTTTGGGTGGTAAATAACAAAGTTACGAGGCCAAGTGCAAAACAGGGCCAGAGAGCCGATTTTGGGTCCGAGTAGCCGGGTCAATTTTCGAGTTTTTAAAAATACAAAAACCAGCTGGGTCTTATGGATACGATTATAGCTTTGATGTTGTTATCTACGCTCGTCAAATTTGGGGGCAAACTGATTCATGATCATGGTGAATTTCAGCTCAAAATCGAAGATCACCCTATTCCAAAATCGAAGTTTAAATCTCTTTTAAAAAAAATTTCGACGGAAAATTGTCTTAGTCTTTGCATAGTTTTATTCAACTGATGGCACTGACTTATTGCTCAAAATATCCCTACGACTCCACCTTCCAAAATTTTTTTACGCAGCCTCCAAATCGGTTTATTTCGGGTTTTGATGAATTTTCTTGGCGCCAACGGCTGGTCAAATAAATTCAAGAACATGGCTTTAGGATGCGCTACTCAAATGGTATCAGATAAAATTAAAACGATAATTTTCACAGTGCGACTAAATTTTATAAAATGGTGACAAGATTCTGAAAAAAGCACGAACCAACCGTTTTGGAGGCCCTAAAAGACGCCCTTCCGAAGGGGTACGGTGGCTCGAAATTTTGTAGATAATAGATCAACCCCCGTACTACATAGCTAAGCAAAGAAAACAGCTGAGTCCCCTTTGGCAATTTAGAAATATTTTTCCAAAGTTCGATTTCGGGACCTCGAAAAATCCGTGACCAGGGGGTCGTTGAAAAACTCGAAAATTCATCGGTCTCAAAAATTTTTTTAAGGTTTTGATGCGATTGTAACGGGCTCGTAGGTATTCCACAACAACTGTTTTTGAGGTTTTCGCCATAGGTTTTTTCAATATTAAAAATTTACGAAATTTCTCCATACAAAATTTCATTCCTCTCTAACTTTTCAACCAGACCCTCAAAAATTCTTAAATTTTGTAGGTACATATCTACTGCCGATATTAACTTATTTAATCAAAATTAGATGCCAGCCACCACAGGAAACTGAGAAAAATACAAATGAAGTTTCCCCGAACGCACAGTTTTCGGGTGTCATTTGTATTGATACGTCGCCAAAAATCGAAAAAATCAAGTTGTGTTAAATCTTCATGCCCAGCATATTTAAGCATTCTGGCATGGTAACGTACCTTCGATTCTCTACCGTTCGCGAGTTATTTCGACCCAAACTGTGGTCTTTTTTTTTTGCACACCCTGTCATCAAACACCGCGGCATCCCATGCAGATCGTGAAAATGCCTTCGGTGCCGAATACCAGCAGTAAGACCGGTACACTCCATACAGGAAAGAAGCTGTCTGACTCGGGATTTTTCGTTCCGAACCTGCGGCAAACGCTGGACCCTGATTCTTCGAAGCTTTGGGTGCCTCGACAGCAGCTAGTGGAACCTCTGAAGATCGACAGTTCTTCGGGGTCAGAGACAGTCCGTTGTTCCAACTCAATTTGCCAAAGTACGACATTGACATCGTCGTTGTTGATCCCGCTGAGCATGCTCGACTCGGGAACGACAAATATTTGCAATTGAATCCAGAACAACTCAGAGCAACGGATGAAGTCTTGGCCGAGGTCGCAGACCCAAGTGGGCAGTGCTTCTTCATTGACGGTCCAGGGGGAAGCGGCAAAACCTTTGTCTACCAAACCATCTACCACATTCTATCCGGTATGGGTAAAAAGATTCTCTCGGTAGCGTGGACAGGTATTGCCGCCAACCTTTTGGAAGAAGGACGAACAGTCAGCACTGCCTTCCGACTGTTGATCAAGACCAACAACAAGGAATCCAGCATGAAAAGGCAAAGCATTGAAGCACGAGCACTCGCTGAGATCGACCTGATCATCTGGGACGAAGCACCAATGGCACCGAAAGTAGCTCTCGAAGCAGCTGATGCTCTTCTTAAAGACATTATGCAAAAC